GTATTGAAATGAGAAAGTATTTTCCCCAATTTATCTGAGGTCACTTGAACAAAACCTGAGTACCAGAACAAAGCTTCTGGTAACTACCTCCGTGGTACCAATTGAAGCAAATGAAGTCAGGTTTCTTTATTTATTTACTCATTTATTTATTTGCAAGTCCAACTATGTTGTCTCTTTCGACATAATTATACTCACTTATTAGAACTGAAATTCCATAGACTTGACAACAGAAATAGTAATTATTATGAAAAGCAGATCTAGAGGCCTTCTTTACGGTAGTGCCAAATAGTAGCCATTAATCTGCAACATTTTTCTTTTAGGAAGCTCAGTGGATATGCTGTATGCTTTTGCACATTGCTCAGGATTGAACCTGATCTTTGGCCTGAACGCATTATTAAGAACAGCAGATCTGCATTGGAACAACTCTAATGCGCAATTGCTGCTGGACTACTGTTCTTCCAAGAGTTATAACATTTCTTGGGAATTAGGCAATGGTGAGTACTTCCAGGGACATTTCATTAGCAAGGGGATTCTCCTTTAGCATTAAGTAATTTATGACTATGACTTTCTTTTTAATATAACCACATATACTTCTACCTGGGCACATTCATAAAAGTACCCAACAACACAATTTTTGCAACTGTTTATGGCTGAAAACTCCTTTATACATCCCAGCACTTATTGTTAAACCCAGTTCATGTGATGTTTGAGTTGAAAACAACTAACAAGCCAGCAAACTCCACAGCTCGCAGATTCACTTGAGACTATTTGGAGTCATTTCAACCTATGATGTTTGGCAGGCTGGATTCAACAAAACTGTGAAGTAGGCAGTTTTCTTTTACCTTCCCATTACTTTTTCTGTTTCTCAACTTGTCAGTTAATCTGAACAACCCCATCCCAACCCTCATAATATGGTCATGCTGTCAAGAAGTTTCAAGTAAAGAATCCAACCCAGATCAAACACTTGATTGTTTCCTTCTTTTCTCTTTTTTACCAGGAATGCATAAATTCTAACTGAAGTGTTAGTGACTAATCACATTTATTCAAAACGTTTCTTAGTGCTTTTTCCATACACCAGCCTATGGATCTGAAGATAAAATGGGAAATGAGATATAGTAATATGATACATACATCCTATATGCCAGGCACTGTTCTGAGCATTTCATAAGTATTAACTTATTTTGTCATTATAACTATTTCTCTGAGGTAGAAATAGAGGACCTCTTGTGATGCAGTGGTTAAGCATTTGGCTGCCAACTGAAAGGTCAGCCATTCAAACCCAAGAGTCTCTCCCTAAGAGAAAGATGTGACAGTCTGCTTCCACAAAGATTGCAGCCTTGGAAACCTGGTGGAGCTATTCTACTCTGCTTTTAGGATTATTATGAGTCTGAGTTAACTCAATGACAATGGGTTTTTGTTTTGTGTTTATTTTTGAGGTGGATATCATTATGACGCTCATTTTACAGATGAAAAAAGAGACACAAAGAGTTAGGAGAATAGCTTTGTGACACTGTGCAACTAAGTAGAGGAGCTGGGACTTGAATCCAGCAGTCAGACGCCAGAGCAAGGCTACTACTCTTTTGGAGCTTCCACTCTAGAGGTGGGGAGCAAAGGCAATGAGAAAACAAGCAGTGTGATACATGCCAATGGTGATATGTGTTATGATAAAGTCTAGCATCAGACTTTGGGATTTTCTTACCAGTTGCTGAGGATAACTTGCAAGATGAAACAGAAAATAGGATAGTAGGTTAGAGGCAATCATATCTTAGCAAAGTGCTGAACAATTTTGTTACAGCAACTGTACAAACAGATGTCATGTTAATCTATTCTCATCATCTATCTCCTTCACTTTACTTTTCCACCCTACCCTCCTGTTTTGATCCTCTGGTGCTACTATAACAGAAATACCAAAAGTGGATAACTTTAACAAACAGGGATTTATACTTTTATAGTTTTGGAGGCTAGAAGTTGAAGTTCAAAGTGCCACCTCTAGGGATTGGGTGAAGGCCCCTTGACCTTGGGCTTCAGGTCTGCCTTGATCCTGGCCCATTGGAGCTGGAAACTCACCGCTGTCGAGTTGATCTCAACTCAGAGTGACCCCTCCTTGGGTTTCTGAGGCAGTACCTCTACAGAAGTAAATTGTCCAGTCTTTCTTCCAAGGAGTGGCTGGTGAGTTTGAACCACCAGGTTCTGGTTAGCAGTCAAATGCCTTAGGCACTATGCCACTAGAGCTCCTATTGGAGCTGGAGATGTCTCAACTCAGGTAACCACTAGCTGCTGAGGCTGACAAACATATAATTGACTAGTAAAATGGCAGAGTCCCAAGATTATCAAGGAACACAGTAGGCCACTAGTTCAAGTCCAGAAACAGTCCCAAGATTGACAGACAACATGGCAGGCCACTCACTGGATGACTTGGGAAATGCAGGATCCAAATGTGCTAAGAAGCTCAAGGCCTTTCTCAAAGCATCTTCTTATATACTGGAAGCAGACCACTCCCTAAGGCAGCTACTCAGATGCTCATAGCAGATTCTATCATGGAGTTGATTACCAGTTCCATCATGAGGAATCACTACAACCAGCTGCCCAGTCACTCAAAACCAGGCCCAGCTACGTTGACACATAACCTTAACTACCATGCATCCTAACTCCTTTGGCTCTTCAGAGCAAGATGACAGAGTGATGCCATCATGTTTCCCTCTTCCTTGGGCCCCATTTACAAATAGAAGGTCTAGTTTCCAGGGTGATAAGGAAGGAACAGGCAAGAGCCAATAGTGAAATCAACTGGATCCTTACATCCTTTCTGTGCTTCTCCCTTATTTCATCATCTTTGCTACTTCTAGGCCTACTCACACATGTAATTTGTGAGTAAATATTCTCAAGTCTTTATATTCCATTGTAGAAATCAGTTAAATGTCTCTTTCCCACCCAGCTTTTCTTTTTCTTAAAGAAATTAGGTGATTAAGTACTGGACACAGACACATGACATCTGTTCATACAATTGCTGTAACAAATATCTGTTAGTTTTCCAAATATCTGTTAGTTTAATATCCCCATCATTGACTTCAAATTGTTTTAGTACATTTTCCCATTCCAGTTACATAATTTCAATTTTTTTTTTCCTGGAACAACTTCTTTATAACTAGATGTTTTATTTTTCTTGCCCTTTTGAAATTTGGAATCTTTTTTTCACTTTTAAGTGATGCTCTCTCTCTATATATATTTGTTTTTATTTAAAAATTTCTAGATAAGGGATTATGTCAAGAATTGCTGTCTTTCAGAACCTAACAGTTTTCTAAAGAAGGCTGGTGTTTACATTGATGGATTCCAGTTAGGAGAAGATTTTATTGAATTGCATAAACTTCTAGGAAAATCCACTTTCAAAAATGCAAAACTCTATGGCCCTGACATTGGTCAGCCTCGAGGAAAGACTGTTAAGATATTGAGAAGGTAAGAGCTAGAGGAAGCAGAACTACTTTTAGAAATGAATGTTTAGAGTTTATGTTAACGGTGGTAGAATGATTTGGAAAAGGATAACCAGAATGGCTGCACAACTTGAAGTATGTAATCAATGTCACTATATTGTACATGTAGAAGTTGTTAAGATTGTGTATGTTTTGTTACATATTTTCACCACAAGAAAAGAATAAAAAATATTTCTCTCTGATGAATAGTCATATGATTGAAGAGTCAATAGTCCATATGATTAACTGCTTGATTAGATTTTTTTTTTTCACAAAACAAAACATTTTCACCAATGTTTAACCAGAAGAGGAAACCTTAACAGCCTCAGAATACCAAGAGTTCTGGGGAAAACGGCATCTATGATAAAATTTAGATTACAATTAAGGAATTAGTGTTTGCCTGACCCAACAGTAACCAGCTCATTTCAGAGGAATAAACTCTTGGTGTATATATTCAGTTATTTTCATATGAGGACTAAGTGATGATATAATGGATTTTTTTCCCCCTAGTTTTCTGGAAGTGGGAGGAGAAGTGATTGATTCAGTTACATGGCACCAGTAAGTATTGTCTTCTATTCTTTCACTAGAAAACTAGCACTAGCTCTACTTATTACTTATGTCCCTAAAAATTATTTCTATTTATCTGCTAATTGAGTTTTTAATTCAAACAAGAAACAAATAGTGTCTCAAGCAGCAAAATACTAGAATTTTCATATTATTACAACTTATTTTAATGAATGTGGTGATTTCTATAAGGTCAAGGCACCTTGTCACTTGACCCATGGAACCAACATAATATCCAAAGATTGTGTAACCCCATAAGTATCTGTCTTGAGATTGTGTCTTTTCAAGACAGAGTAACTGTTTTCTAGTTATCTCAATAGAGTGAATGTCTTAGTTATTTAGTGCTGCTATTAAAAGGATACCACAAGTGTATGGCTTTAACAAACATAAATTTTATCTTTCATAGCTTAGGAGGCTAGAAGTCTGAAGTCAAGGTACCAGCTCTAAGGGAAGGCCTTCTCTCTCTGTCAGCTCTGGGGAAAAGTTCTTGTCTCCTTCCAACATATGTGGGCCTGGCATTCCTTGGAGATCTCCATGTGTCTTGGCATCAATATTCCCCTGGGTATAGGAGTTGCTCAGCACAGGGATCCTGGGTCCAAAAGATACCTTCTGCTCCTGGCTCTTCTTTCTTGGTAGTAATCAGATCCTTCTCTTCTTGGCTTGCTTGCGTCTCTCTCCTTTTATCTCTTGTAAGATACAAAGTGTGACTCAAGCAAGGGTGTGACTTGAGTAAAGGTAGGAACTTGAATAAGGGTATGACTTGAGTACTTGAGTAAGGGTGGTGAGTTGAGTCAAGATGGGACTTGTAAGCCTGTAAGATTGTAAGATACAACCCACCTTAAACTTGCCTCATTAACATATGGAGATTAGAATTTACAATACATATTACAAAATGGAGGATAATTATATCACAGCACATGATGTGGACAACTACACAATACTAGGAATCACAGCCTAGCCAAATTAACACATATTTTAGTGGGACACAATTCAACCCATGACAATGGACTCTTCTTCATGTCCTTCCATTTTGATCTCCCTAGTAGAACTTCTGATTTTTCTTTCTTCTTTTTTTTTTTTTTTAATTGAAGGGAAGTGGGAAAGGTAGGAACAAGGTCACCAATTACAAGCAGAAAGTAAAGTCTGTTATTTTTTTTTCTGAATATATTATGAATAATTTAGCTACTATTTGAATGGACGAATTGCTACCAAAGAAGATTTTCTAAATCCTGATGTACTGGATACTTTCATTTTATCTGCACAAAAAATTTTCCAGGTAATATTCTTTTTCTTTTAAGAAAAAAAGTAAAACCAGAACCTTTATTTGTAGTCTAGTTAGTTCTAAATTCTACAGATTTATAAATGTGCATGTTTTTCTAATCTTAAGTATATGAATTTTGGGACAGACATTATGTCTTATTCACCTTTGGTTGCCCTTTAGCATAGGACCTTACCCATATAAGTTGATTAGAAATCAAAAACACTTTAAATAGCCTTTTAATAGAATTAATTATCAAAGGACATAAAAATATGTTTGCTTATGTTCTTCTCACACCCTAGCATTATAGTAAAAAGCAAATTGCTCAAAACCTAAATGACTGCAAACATGTTTTGTAACTATATTAGACAGATGGGTATAGTTGACAATGAATACAAGGTTTTGAATGTTGTTAATCGTAGCATCATGTTTGATCAGTTTATTTGAAATTACCATGGAGACTTCCCTGTTCCATAGGTTGTTGAGGAAACAAGACCCCGCAAGAAGGTTTGGTTAGGGGAAACAAGCTCAGCATATGGTGGTGGAGCGCCCTTGCTGTCCAACACCTTTGCAGCTGGCTTTATGTAAGTAAAACAACACTCACGTCCAGGAACAGATTACAGCCATTTCCCTACCTTCTGTTCAGTTACAATAGCCCATCAGCCAAAAAGCAGATCAAAAGGTGATCTGTGGCTTAGCCCCAAAATTTTTGCCAGGTTTTGCAAGGAAGTAATTTACTAAACCTTGTTGTTGTTGTTGTTGTTGTTGTTGTTGTTGTTGTTATGTGCCGTCGAGTCGGACCCAACTCATAGTGACCCTTCCTTACATCTTTAATGTATCCTAAATTAATCATTGCAAGAATGATTTGGTTTGGAAATTTTGTTCCTTAATTAACCAAGCCAAACCTGTTGCCATTGAGTCAATCCTAATTCATGATGAAACATATTGTAAAAGAGTACACATCTCAGAGCTTGGAGATTAATAAAGATACTTACTATATGTAGCTGTACTTAAAGATTCCTAAGAAGTGTGGTGCCTTAAGTATAAGTTCACACTAGGGGGTTTTCCAATGAATTCAAAGATTTATCAAATCATCTCATTATCCAACCAAGACAAACTTGATTGCTTTAGAATATTGATTTAACTATATTTAATAATCTGCTAAATGCCCTTTATACCTCTATAAATTTTATGATTAAGACAAATTCTCCTTCCTGTCCCATTCTCATTCTTAGAATCCAAAAATAAAGCACAATACTGTTGGAATGGCAATGTGAAGGATAGAGAAAAAAGAATGAAGATAATTGTTTTACCATTAACCACAGATGTGGGAGACGGGGGGGGGGTTCATAAAATTTTAGGTGTGATACTACTTATTCCACATTTTATTACTCAGACCACATTTGAGAAGCAGGAGGAGAGTTGGGCTATTCTCACAGGATGAAAAATGGTCTATTGGGGTGGGAATTTGTCTACTTTGCTTCGTAGAAGTTGGGTTACCCTGCCTGAGACTCCCTGCTTTCTTGATGATATATAGAGAGCTTTCTAGGATAGTTATCATCCTGAAGTCAGGAAGATGTAAAGGAAAGGATTCTACTGCTACTGCATATAGTGTCCATTTCATTCAAATGACTTATTTATAATTAATGCCACTTTTCTGGTTTCCTGTTAATGTCTCCCGTATAGATGAATGAATCAGGATAGCATGAAATTAGAATTATTTTATTTTCCAAAGCTGAAGAAAGCTAGATCTCTCTCTGCTCCAGGTGGCTGGACAAATTGGGCCTGTCGGCCAGAATGGGCATTGAGGTCGTGATGAGGCAAGTGTTCTTCGGAGCTGGAAACTACCACCTAGTGGATGAAAACTTTGAGCCTTTACCTGTAAGTGACCTTCCCCCTGCTCCCCTATTTCTACAAATGGATTAAAGGATGCTAAGGGTGCTTTGTCATCTTCCTAGGAATAATCATTGTTATTCATTGCCTTTAATATATAGCCAAATCATAGAATGGTGAGTTGAAAGAGACTTTAAAGATCATCCAGCCTAATATTTTTGTTTTTCGAGATAAGGAATTGAGACTCAGGAATAACTTGTTTAATATGGGTCCTTTTGGGCATGATATGGATTTTTAAAAAAATCAACAGAGTTTATTTGATAGAGTAGTTTTAGATTTGCTAAACTAAAATAAGAAGATGCATGTAGTACACAGAGTCCCCATATACTTCCTTCTTTTCTTCC